GGCTGCTATAAATATCACTATTCTGAGATTCTCATACATTAATACTTGTATCTATTTATTACAGGAATGGATTACAGTCTCATGAATGGAAGCATTGGTTGAAGAGTTTGGTATATATTAAATGAGAAGGAATGTTACCAAATGGCCTTCTAGAAAAATGGAAAGAGTTCATAATTCCACCAACTGTGTATACAAGTACCTTCTCCTAGTACCTTTCCCAGAAATCAGTGACCATAATTTTTAAAAATCTTTATTGAGATATAATACAAAAAGATGCAGCCTTTTAAGGTATACAATTCAATGGTTTCAGAAGGCCAGAGCTACATGAGTGATCATTAAGTTCAGAACATTTTCATCAGTCTGAAACAGGAACCCTGTACCTTAGTGCCGAGTACCTGCCCCCACTTCATTCCAGACCTAGCAGTCACTGATTCCTCTCCATCTCTATGGATTCAGCTACCTTAGATATGCCATATAAATGAACCCATACAATTTGGGGATTTCTGTGATCAGCTCCTTTTACTTAACATATGCTTTATTGCTCAGTAATTTATAATTCATCCACATTGTAGCATGCAACTGTATTTCATTTCTTTTCATTGCTGAATAATATTCCACTGTGTGGCTATGCTGCATCTTATCTATCTACTCACAAGTTGATAAACATTGGGTTGTTTCCACTTTCTGGCTACTAAAAATAGCACTGCAATGAACACTTGTTTTTCACCAAGTGTGTGCTTATCTCTTGGATATGCGAACTGCTGGGTCATATGATAACCCCACATTTAATTTTTTTAGGAACTGCCCCTGAGTTTCAAAGTATAACTTTATGCCAGTTTGACAGGCAATAAAAAATTTCACTGAAATTTTAATGTGTATTTAACTGATTTTGAGGCTTTTTAACTCCTTGGCCATTTTCATCTTGTTCATTTTATCTTTTTATAAATTGTTTTTTATCTCTTGTGTTCTCTTCCTATTGAGCTGGGGTTTTGTTGTTGTTATTGTTTGTTTATTTTTGTTTGGAGAGTTTTGTCTTTTATAAAACTCCAAGAATTCTTTGCATATTATAGATATTAGTGTTTACTGTTATCTCCTTTACAAACACTTTTGTCTTGATTTAAGGTTTGTCTTCTAATTTGTGGATTCCTGTGTCATGTAACACATTCCATTTGTATAGTGCTAAACACATCTGGGTTTTTGTGTACATTAGAAAGTTCTTCCTTACTTCCAGATTACTTATGCAGCAGCCTCAACAGTTGTCAAAGATTTGTCTGCTTATTTATTTTATACCTTCAATACGCAAGATTTATCTTATACACAGTATGAAATAGGATTAGCCACTTTTGTACTAAAATAAAATATACCTTAAGTTATTAAATGTAATTTTTTCTGGGTTCTCTATTCTATTGTCTTTTGAGCAACACATCAGCACTACATGCTGCTCATAATAACAATTTAGTGGGCTTTGACACTTTTAAAATATAATTAGAATGGAAAATATCCTAATGTATTATATACAGTGAGGGTGAATATGGAACCTTTATTTCTATTTTTAATACACACATGCATACCAAGGGTCATTACCATGTAAAATATAATTCTTACTATGAATTAAAGTTTAATTCACTTTAGTTAAACTCAACTGAAGCTTCAAATCTACTCCTTCACTGTACTCTACTGATACATTTATCTATTCTTTTATCCATACCACATTCACCTATTTTTGCTTTTTGATAATATTTTAATATCTAGAGTAAAGCAAATCTCTTTTATAAAATTTATTTGGTAATTTTTTTATATTCTTCCACATACATCACAGTCATTTTTTCTAAATGCTAAAAAATTATTTCCATTACAATTAAAATGGCTAATTTGGGAGAATTTATACTTGCATGAATTTGAATTTATACTTCTTCTCTACAATCAAGTATTTGGTTTATCTCTACATTCTTCTGGTTTTTTTTTTTTTTTTTTTTTTTTTTTTTTTTTTTTTTTTTTGGCCACCAATGCCTTCAGGGCACTTTTGGCCAGCAGGAGAGTTGTGAGGTTCGAACTCCAGCAACCTGAGGCTGACAGCTTTGTGGAAGCAGCCACTTAAAGGACTGAGCTAGGGTCAGGCCCCCCTTCTGTTTTTTTAATTTTTAATTTTAATTTTAATTTTATTGCTTTATCACAGGGTCTTGCTACACAGCTCGGACTTGCAGTGATCCTCCCGTCTCAGCTTCCTTGCACTTGCCAGTCAGGTGCTTAGACAACTGAGCTATCTTCCCATCCCCTGCTTTACATTCTTGAAACACAGAATATTTTCATGGTTCATATCATAGGTCCTGTGGTTTACTTGTTAAATGTCCTATAATTATTTTACAGTTCTTTTCATTGTTGTGACAGAAACTTTCTCTTGCTGCCATTTCTGTGTTTATTGCAAGTATAAAGATACTATCAACTTTAGCTTCTATCTGGATATCCCAGCAGATTGTCTTATGAAGATTATTGTTTATAACTTCAGTCTCTTAGAGACTGTAGTCATCTTAGAGATACACCATCAGTCTCTTAGTGATGTACCATCAGTCTCTTAGAGATATACCATCACATTTTCTAGAATCACTAGAAAAATAGTAAATAATCTGGCAGTACAAAACTGCACCAGTAAGAATCTCAACTAGCTCCTGATTACAAGTGCAAGCAATCTGTTCTAGAAATAGATTTTCAAGTGGTTGAGGCTCACTCCACCTCTATTTCTCAGGCTGCTCCACCTGTTACAGCCCCTGCCCCTGTTTCTCAGAAGCCTCCATTCCTTGTACAAATTCTCAGCTGTGCTACAGTGACAGTCCTTGGCTTCTGGGCTGGAGTAGTAGGGTGGAGAGAGAAAGAGAGGGGTCCTGATTTCAAAGGCCCTATTAAAAATACTTATGCGTCCATTCAGATATATGTATGCAAGGCACAAGGCAAGATGCTGAAAGGAAAATCAAAAAAATAAAGAATGTCCAGAAAGATAATCAAATAGGATATATAAAATTCATAAATAACTTTAGATAAATATTCAGACAGAAATGATGCATGCTGTAAATAAGCACAGGTAAGGTCTGAGTATGATACACAATTATTCCTCATAAGAAGTCATATATGTAAACTATGTACGAACTATAATACTGTTAAAATTTAAGTACAAATTAAAAAACTTCTGTGGAATTAGCTGAACCTCATTAGCACATTATTATCACTCTCTCAGGGAAAAACTGCTTTCAAATAATCCCCTTTAAGTGATCTACTAGTAATATAACTCCTGTTTTGTTTTTTTCTTTTGGTAGCAGGAATTGAACTCAAGACCTTACACTTGTCAGGTAGGCACTAATGCCACTGAGCTATCTCCCTGGCCCTAACTTCTGTATCTTAAAGACTAGTGGTAACAGTACCTAAGCTGTAGCACTGGCAAAGAAAAAACAAGGCAGTAACAACAGAAATAAATGAAGCCTTTGTCCTTGACAGTGACCTTTTCTGACTACTCCCTAATTAAGAACAGAATTAACTTTGTTCAATGAAAATAAATTCATATCATGTAAAATTTCTTAAAGATTTAAATTATATAAAATCAGGTACTAAAGAATTTTAATTATGTTTATAATACAATTTTAAAATTGTTTTAGGTTGCCAAAAATACACAATCTACAATTTTCATCTGTGTCAAAAACTGTCACCTTTTAATTCATGGTGTATTGCTGCAAAACACAGCTGTTACATCAGCCAGGTAGTTTATTAGTTCATTCATGCTATGAAAATACTCCTGACATTTCATCTGGTCAACCATCGTAAAGGTTAATTCTTGTTTCCTCATTCAGATTTTATTCTAGGTGAGCTGTTTGTGGGCAGATTCTATTTACCTATTCTGAAACAAACCACAAAGTGTTTCACTGCTCACTCACACTGTTAAGAACATATTGACTTGCTGCCTGCTCTGCTGTTTAATTCATTTATGCTGTGAGTCAGGCATGAAGACAGAATTTTAAATGTGACATTTGCAGGCTGTTAGGTCATTTAAGCTCTGACAACACGAGGGAATTCCTGACATATAAACTGGACCTGGTTACCAAGCACAGCTGAGCTTCCCAAAGGGGCACATTTCTGATCATTTTGTGGTAATCTCTCATAGAATTTTAGTATCAATGAAAAGATCTCTATGGCCAACATTTTAAAAGAAAAAACTCTGTTTCTTTTAATAAGCTCAAACTGGCATGTCTTGTCAACACATATCTCCTAAAAATTCTTTGATTGGAAGGATATACATAAAGTCAAATAATTATAGTTCATAACAACTCTGAGAAATTCTGACATGAAAAGGCTTCAACTATTTCCTACAATCTGTAAGGACCCGAAATATCTGCTAGGTCCAAAGGCTACAGCTCTCGTCAATACACTATTTAAGATTATTAGACTCTGGCCCAGAAGGCTAGAGGTTATATGCTGTCAAAATTACAGTACAAAATCTAAGCTTAAACACTTTAAACACTGCCTTTTCTAAGATTAGCATTATGGAGAGGGATGGTAAAGTCATTATAATTGGAAATGAACACACTGCCCACATTAGATTCAGAATTACACTTAACAAGGTTAGATAATGGCATAGGATAGAGGAAGCAGGGTGAGACTGCTTCTCCTTTTAGCCACTCCAAAAAACTACAATATATGATGTATTTTCAGCTTTCTCATCACTAACATGTACAATGATTCAAAATGAAAGTTTTCTAAAATTAAGTTTTGTTATTAATACACAAAATGATTGTGATTACTCTGTATTCTATGTAAGAATTCCAGTGATATGCAGCAAGTAGCCTTTAATACTGTGCAAAGAATGAGACTTAACCACAAGAGGTGCAGCCCAAATAGGGACAGCCTGAAGTGCCTCTCAGCTACAGCACACTGATGTTGAAAAACCTAACAAAAGCAATTATCTTTTTAGAGATTAAAAATACTGTTTGTTTCAAAAGAATAAAATGGAAAGCAACCTGGTGTATTATCTGTGCTACAGGAAGTTGTTCGGCATATTTCAGTGGTTCCATGAACTCCTCATCCATCTGGTCTTCCTTATAACTGGAAGAAAAGAATGAAAAAACAAAGCTAAGGCAAACACTATTTATAAGTACATACACTATTTAAAGCATTTGAAATTTATTAATACATATTTAAAATGTAAATTTTTGAAATAACTAGTATTTATCAATAATAAAACCAATGAACTATTTCAAATGAACAAATGTATTAAGATTGCATTTAATTACTATGTAATAATGTTATCTAATATCACTTTAATGCTCTTCATTCTCATCTTTTATTCTGAGAATTAAAAATGTTTCAAGAGCTCTCTGTTCATGGTGGGATGGTTTGTATCATGGCTCTTCAAAATCTGGCTCCAACCACACTGAAGCTTCATCCCTTGCCTTTCGACACTTGTGTTGGTGTTGGTGTGTACTGTCGGCCACATCCAACTACTTGCCACCCCCCAGTCTTACCCCTGCTCCACAGAGGGGCTAAACCTACAGGGCTCTCTCACTTCTCCCACACTACTGTATCTGTGTAGACCACCACCAATTCCCTGCTCTGCTCCTTTTACTGTACTACTGACCTGTAACCATCTAGGGACATTGTTTTTACCCTTAAAGCCCAGGTTTTATCCTTCTCTGTATATCCAGTGCTTACAATATGATACTCCTTAAATGTTTACTGAGTGAATATATGAATAAAAATAAATGAAAAAAGCAATTCTCCAAGGTGATTTTATATAGAAATTTTTTCCTTTAGATCTACATGTAAAATGAGATATAAAATTGCCTACCAAATACAAAAATAGTAAAGTACAAAAATAAAACTTAAAACATCCTCCCAAATGAAAAGATTTTGACAAAATTTTGAAATTTTCTCTTTCCAGAAATGGTAAACATCAAATTTCAAGAAATAAGACCTAAGCATATTTAAACTTTCTTTAACTTTTTAATCTATAAATTACATATTAATTTAAAATTACATTAAAACTAAACTTTAAATTTTGTTAGAAAACAAACAGAACAAGATCGGCAGTTAAGGAATCTCAACTCTGGAGTCTTTCCTAAGAAAAGGGCAGATATATAAATAAACACAAAATTTTACACATGAGTAAAGAGCTTCAAGAATCTCTTACTTAGATAAAAGTTGTACAGATCTTGAAGGATTAGCACAAAAATAATTAATTTGGGAAAAACCTTAAAGAGTCTTAAAATGAGGGAGAAAATCATGTCCAAACATTGTAGAGACAGTAGTGGAAAGGTAGATGCCAGGAGCTAGGAGAAAGTTTACTGTAGCGGACAGTTTCAGATTACAAAATGAAAAAAAAAGTTCTAGAGAGGGTTATGGACAATAGAGACAGATTTAAGGACAGGGACCTGTGCAGTGGCTAAGACAGTATCACTGACACATCAGGAGCAGCGCAGTGCTGCTCCTCTCGCATTCCCAGTCCCACTTTGAAGCCCCACCCTCCAGAATCAGAGAGTTACCACAGTATTCCTAGACTGGCTCCTGAGAGAAGGCGTGAAGTTTGCGTGAGGTCTTTAGGATGGCCTCATCAAACATGACTGGCATCTTTGTAAGAAGAGATGAGGACCCAAGACACAGCAAAGGCCTCCTGAAGACACGAAGGGAGGCAGTCACTTATTTACAGGCTCTGGAGTGAGGCGTTAGGAAAGCCAATCCCAAGGACACTTATAGGCCTCCAACTATGGGGAACACCTGCTGCTTATGCCACCTAGGCTGTGAGGTTTTGGTGAGATTTTTTTTTGGGGGGGGGGTCTTTTTGAGACAGGGTATCGCTATGCAGCTCAGGCTGGCCTTGAGCTCATGTTGTAGCCCAGGCTGGTCTTGAACTTGCAACAATCCAGATGCCTCAGATTCCCTAGTGCTGGGACTACAGGCATGCACCACCACGCCCCTCTCTGTGAAGCCTCTGTCATGGCAGCCCCTAGCAAATTAATACAATGCCCTATTTCACTACACATATAATTTTCACTGACCAAAAATCAAAATTTTGCTTTAAAGCATTTCTCAATACGTTTTAAAAGTCTGTCCACAGGGCCAGCCAGATAGCTCAGGGGACTAAAGCGTCTGCTGAGGCAGAGCACAGCAGCTGAAGTTTGATCCCCAGCATGCCATACTGGCCCCGCCCCTGGGGAGCCCTGAGATGTCCACTGAGACTGGGCGGGGTGGCAACGCCTGTAATCCCAGGGCTCAGGAGGCTGAAAACACAGGATCACTATGAGTCCAATCTGTGTAATGAGACCCTGTAGACTCTATACTAAATATATAAAAAAAAAGTCTGTCCACATTTGCAAAAATGGCAACAAAAGAAAAGAGAAACATTAAAACTTGTATTTCAAAGAACAAAATCAGGATAATACCTGGAGACAAATTTTTATATATTTTTTATCAGAAAAGGCCTTTATCAAGTATATGTAAATATTATAAATCAGCAATTAAAAGGTAAGTAATGAAATAAAAATCATTTCCTTTCTCATCAAGGAAATTCTTCAGTAAAATCCACTTATTCTTGTTTGCATCTTTTTTGCTGCTGCCTATGGTGGGAAGAATACATTGACAATGCAGATTGATGCCACCCTGATTCCCACTAAGTCATCAGCAGTTAGTTACTAAAACTCTGAAACTAAAACTGCTGAAAAAATGAACGATGATCAAATCACTGACATTAACTCTAATATAAAGAAATATGAAAAAGTCACTACTTGTTATTCCAAAAAGCAAAAATTACTATGTAAAAGATGGAAGTTTATATTTTACTTGCAAAATGTTTCTCAAACAACATACAAAACATTTAGTCATACAAAAATATTTGAAATTCAGCAAATCATTTTAAGTTAACTTTGTAAATGTCAAGAAACTTATGAAAAAATCTAAACACACTTCTACATTTTTATATGGCTTTGTGATGAGCCATTAAAAGTAAGCTGCAGATATGGCAGCTCAATAGTTACCAGTCGGGGCCTGGCCTTAGCTCAGTTGTTTAAGTGGCTGCTTCCACAAAGCTGTCAGCCTCAGGTTGCTGTAGTTCGATCCCCACAACTCTCCAGCCAGCCAAACCAGCCATGAGGGCATTTGGAGCAAAAAAAAAATAAAATAAATAAATAAACCTTATTCAATAGTTACCAGTCACAGACAGGACTGAATTTTTTTTAATCAACTGTAACACTTCAAAGTTGCATACAGCACAACTGACTAGTAAACCTGGGCAACATGGACCTATAATTCATTACTTTAAATATTTTATCACTAATTAAAATTATTATTATTATTAGGTACTAGGGATCGAACTCGGGACCTTGTGCTTGCCATTCAGGCATTTATGCTGCTGAGCTATCTCCCCAGCCCCCTATTTGTTATTTTTTGAAAATGTTTACTTGCTTCTACATTGCTAATCAAAAATCTGATATAAGTTTGATGTTTTTCCATGTAACTTATTCAATTTTAATGCATTTGCATTTTTTACTTTTTTTCAATAGTTATTACTTCTTTTTTCAACTTGGAGGTTCCATGGCTTTTTGTCCATTTTTTTATTTTCAGCTGAAAGATATACCATAAAAGCTGGTTATTCTAGATCAATTCTCCCAGGTACATAGGAGACAGTAGTACTTTTTATATGGAAATTCAGATACTTTATTTCCAAAAATTTTTATATACAACTTTAAATATTTTTTTCTGCTCTTTTTTCATTAGTTTTTCTAGCTCAGGGATTAAATTAGAGATAATGGATTTTCTGTCATTTTTTTCCTTAGATCCTTTTTATCTCATTTAATCCACATCATTTTCTTGTCTCTTTCTTTCTATTCTTTGTGTCTCTAACTGAAATTTCAGTAATATCCATCTTCCTTTGGTTACTTTGTAATTTAAGTTTTCATTTCTGAAATAATTTGTCCTTTTTTTTCTTTTTTTTTTTGGACAATTTCTTTCCAGAGCTCAGTCAGTTCCTAGTTCACACAACTTCCCCTTGTTCTGTCTATTCAAAGCGACAGTTTTTAAGTTCCTGGCTCATGGTATCTTTTCATAATGCAACAGCTTGTTTAATAATAGAGGTTATTCACATTTGAGTGTTGTCTTTCAGTTTCCCTGTTCTATGTTATCTGTTATTTTTGCTTTCATTCTTTGTGTCTGTGTGTGTACATATAATTTAGTAAGAAAATTTTAGCTTACTTTTCTATTTTATTCTTACAGCAACTTTGTACTTGAGAAAAATTCTTCTTTTCCTATTGAGGATTACTTACACAGGTTTCCTAGGATTGGTAAAGGCAGTTTAATCTTGGACTGGCAGAAGGGAAGGTGTGACTTTCTAGGTTTCTCGGTCCAAGAGTGCCCTCTGCTGTGGCTCTACTCCAGTATAGTTCCTTTAAAGCTTTTTGTGGCGGTGGAACAAGTTGTATTTTTTTTACAATACTATCTTTTTTTTTTCCGTAATTTTATTGAGAGACAAACAGTAATGAGACAGTTTCAAATCAAATTGGTAGGACAGTTTCAATAATTAACACACTGCATACTCTCTTCCTAGTGGTTATTTGCTGTATAAGATGCAGACATGATATCCTATTTACAAACACCATTAGAACAAATCATTCTATTCATTAAGAGAATGCAACTATATATCTATCCTAACCACTTTGAATACACAGATACAAAATGGACATTTATCTGTATACCCTTTTTTTGTTAAGTTTCATTATTTGAATATTATAGGTGTGTTAACTCAGCAAAACATTCTAAAAGTTCAGTAGTCCATAATAGTATTTATTGCTTGACTGGCAGTGTCAGAAATTGTTGACAAGAGTCCCCTCCAGCTCAACATAACAGCATGGCTTTACTTCTTATACTTCATTTTTATACTTTTCTACTGGATGGTTAAGACCAAGATAAAGCAAGACCTATGCAACAAGAGTTGTAGCTTTTGGATCTGATAAGGTCAGTCAAATCCCCTCAGGATTTATCCTGAGATCCTGTAGCACAGATTGTAGATCCTTTGTCAGTGTCAGCCAATACTATCTTACTTCCTTGCAAGACTTATC